AGAGGCAACTGTATCGAAACTTTTAAAATAACTAATAAGATAATAAACATCGAAGACGCATTTTTCAATATGAAACAATCAACTAATTTGAGAACATTTAATAATCATCAACTCCAGAAAGACATATACTCTAGCAGACAAGCAAATGATTATAGTAAAGCTGTGAAGTTTAGAGATAACTTTTTATCAAACAGAGTCACACAAGTATGGAATTATTTGCCTAATTCGGTCATAGAAGCCTCGGGAGCTACACCTAAGGCGGCAATCAATAAATTCAAAAACAATTATGACAAATTTCAAAAAGATAAAATTAACTCAATTAAACAATAACATTTTATTATTATTAGATTTTTAATATAAATTGTTAACGTAGCTGCTATAACTCTGCATTTTCTAGTGCATTGTTGGGTACTTGTGCCCCTAGTATTGATTTACTGCAGTATTATTATTATTATTATTATTATTATTATTATTATTATATATATATATATATATATATATATATTTATATATATATATATATATATATATATATATATACATATATATATATATATATATATATATATATATATATATATATATATATATATAGTACTGAATATATGCATATATATATGTCAAATTACGCATATATTTAGTACATATACATCTATATATTTATAACTATATTTATATTTATCTGTCTATATATATATATAAATATATATATATATATATATATATATATATATATATATATATATATATATATATATATATATATATATATATATATATATATATATATATATATATATATATATAGATATAAACATAGATATAAATATAAATATAAATATATAGATGTATATGTACTAAATACATGCATAAATTGACATATATATATGCATATATTCAGTACATATACATATACATATATATATATATATATATATATATATATATATATATATATATATATATATATATATATATATATATATATATATAGAGAGAGAGAGAGAGAGAGAGAGAGAGAGAGAGAAAGAGAGAGAGAGAGAAACATAGATATAAATATAAATATAAATATATAGATGTATATATACTAAATACATGCATAAATTGACATATATATATGCATATATTCAGTACATATACATATATATACTTATATATATATATATATACATATATATATATATATATATATATATATATATATATATATATATATATATATATATATATATATATATATATATGTTTGTATATATAAATACATATATATATATAGCAACAAAGTGCTGTTCTTGTGGACAAAGGCACGTATTCCAGTTATGGAGCAATCATTGCCAAACTTCTTACAATTCTTGATAAGTATAAAAAACTTCGAGGTAGAAAAACTGACCAGCAGAAAACCAGTGAGACAATATTGAAAGGCGAGTTTTTACAACTCTTTGATGTATCTTACAAGAATGCAATGTCCCTCATCACAATCAATGAATACAAGGACTTCCTTATTGAACAGAGGACAGTCAGAAAGATGGCAATGGCAGGAGAAGATAAGGAGCTGGTAAAAAAAGAAGAAAAGATGCAAGCACAAGAGAATCTGATGAAAAAGCGAATAGAGAGAGAGAAGAAAAAAATGGAAGCTCAAAGCTTAAAGGTGCAACTTGTTGATGGTGATGACTCGTCACCATCCTCTTCAGACTCTGAGTCATCTGAACATGGCCCTCCTCAAATTCGTAATTGGAGATCAAAGCGATCAACTTCTTTTGAGAAATTGAAAATGACTCCAGAGTTGGTTTGTGCATTGGATCGTAGCAACATTTCCTACCAGCGTGCTGTTCACATTTTGAATGCCTTAGCAGCAACAACTCTTAGCAACAGATCAATCTCCAGGAGCCCAGTTCGACATGTTAGGATACATGGCAGGGCCAACACAGCAGCCACTGTTAGGGATTCCTTCATCAATGAAGTTCAACAAAGTGCTGTACTGTTGTGTAATACTTTCGACATGTATCCTAACATGTCGAACTGGGCTCCTGGAGATTGATCTGTTGCTAAGAGTTGTTGCTGCTAAGGCATTCAAAATGTGAACAGCACGCTGGTAGGAAATGTTGCTACGATCCAATGCACAAACCAACTCTGGAGTCATTTTCAATTTCTCAAAAGAAGTTGATCGCTTTGATCTCCAATTACGAATTTGAGGAGAGCCATGTTCAGATGACTCAGAGTCTGAAGAGGATGGTGACGAGTCATCACCATCAACAAGTTGCACCTTTAAGCTTTGAGCTTCCATTTTTTTCTTCTCTCTCTCTATTCGCTTTTTCATCAGATTCTCTTGTGCTCGCATCTTTTCTTCTTTTTTTACCAGCTCCTTATCTTCTCCTGCCATTGCCATCTTTCTGACTGTCCTCTGTTCAATAAGGAAGTCCTTGTATTCATTGATTGTGATGAGGGACATTGCATTCTTGTAAGATACATCAAAGAGTTGTGAAAACTCGCCTTTCAATATTGTCTCACTGGTTTTCTGCTGGTCAGTTTTTCTACCTCGAAGTTTTTTATACTTATCAAGAATTGTAAGAAGTTTGGCAATGATTGCTCCATAACTGGAATACGTGCCTTTGTCCACAAGAACAGTACAAAGTGTAATACTTTTTAGTATTACACTGGGATGGCAAGTTGCTCCCAGACTGTACAGGAAATGGAGGCGGCTTAAAGGTGGGTTGTTTGCCAATTATTGTTTCAAGCCCAGATATTGAATTCAAGAAACTGCTGGCAATACCAAAGTTATCATCGAGCACCATGGCTAATGCAACTGACAAGATTGTTCGAGAGTGGAAACTTAAAGAAAGAATTGAAGCTCTTTCCTTTGAAACAACATCATCCAACACTGGGATCCATGCTGGTTGTTGCCAATTAATAGAGGTACAATTGGGTCGACCTCTTATACATCTTGCATGCAGACATCACATGATGGAGCTGATTTTGGCTACAGCCTTCAAATCAGTTTTGACTGCATCATCTGGACCAGACATTCAGCTATTCAAACGTTTTCATGAATAATGGTCTTTTATCTCAAAAGATGAAATAAGTGCTTTCAAGGATCCGAGAGTAGATGAGCATAAATATTGGAAAGATGCTACCATAACCTCCATGCAGTCTAGCTAGGCTTGAAAGAGTATACATGATGATTATGCCAAACTGTGTCAACTGTCATTGTATTTTCTGACAGGAGAATTATGTGCTCCATACAGAAAGCCTAGTGCATACCATCACGCCAGGTGGGTGCCCAAGGCTATCTATTTGTTGAATATCTTGTTGTTTAAGAAGCAAATGAAAGTGGAAAAAGTGAGGAGACTGGTCTACATGAAGTTTCTCTCTTTATTATCTTGATTTACTCCTGAGTCTGGATAGAGGCTCTGCAAGCTTGTGAGGCGGCCACCCAATGATAAGGCACTTCTAAATGATTTGGTCAGCTACAACAATGTAAACGAGAAGATTGCAAAAGCCACATTAACAACTTTCCTGTGCCATCTATGGTATCTAGGTGGTGTCCTTGTTGACTTTTCACTTTTTTCCAACAAGTTGTTTAATAATGAAAAAGAGGATATTGTTAGAGAAATGAAGAAAGAGAAGAACATGGATTGAATTAATTGCGTTCCAAAAAAAGGAGAAGAAACGACAATGAACCTCAGTAATCTTGCTTCTTTGCATCCTTGCAATTTTTAAAATCTTTCAGAATCAATGAAACCTTCTTGGAGTTACCTCCTGACCAATGGGATATTGATGAAAGTTTTCAGGAAGAGTACAGAAAGCTTGAGAAACTGAAAATTGTAAATGATGGGGCAGAGAGGGGAGTTGCAATGATTTCCACTTTCAATGATTCTTTGACAAGGGACAAAGAGACAAAACAAGCACTACTACAAGTTGTAGAGCACCATCATCGTCTCCACCCCTTCAAATGACTTTCCTGACATTAATGAACAATGTGAATGATTGTATTCTAGTTTCACCATGATTTTTGCATATTTTGATGTTCAATAACTTTTCAGTGATTTTTAAATTTAAGTTTGTTTATAAATTCATTTATTTGTTCCTGCAATTTGCATTTTTTTGATAATATGATTCATTTGATGTATAGCTTGAAACTTTGATAGCATTGAGCAATCTCTAAATACAGTCCAAATTATGTAATATTTTGCACAGTGGCTTTTTTGAACAAAATCAACATAACAAACAACATGCCTCTGAACTATAGTAAACTTGACTTTTTTGGACCACCCTAATATATATACTTACATAATATATATACACATACAACCATACATACATACATACATACATACATACATACATACATACATACATACATACATACATACATACATACATACATACATACATACATACATACATACATACATACATACATACACACTTACATACATACAAACATACGAATGACTAAATAATAAGAACATGCAAGGAGTGTCATTACATGAATAAAGGTTTGGGTTAGTGCAGCAAGTGTATTTTCATTATTCTTTTTTTTTTTTTCAATTTGTACAGTAAATATTAGGCAAAAAAGATATGTATACACAAATATAAGAGACTTCACACAACTTAGTAATTATATAAATATATTGTAACTTATTAAATTAATAAATTTATTAGGCTATCAAGTCAGTCCATAAATACTTTTCAAATTCTAGTTAACTTACTTTTATCTTAGTTACTCAAAGACATAATAAAGAAATATAATATTATTAAAATAATTAATAGTTATGTAATATATAAATACAATATGATAAAGTTAGTGCACTTTTTACTATAAACAGCAATTATAATAAAATTGTTGTTGACATTTTAAGTTACATCTGCTACATTTAATGTTGATTTCTAAGTTACAATCAAGTGAAATGAATCATGAAAAATATTTTAACATATCATTGTTAGCTGGACTTATTGATAGACAAATTAAAATGAAAAAGATAATTTTAGTTTTTTATTACCTAGACATTGGTTTGAAAGTGACTCTATTCCACCATTACTTGTGTTAAAACCACTTTTACATATGCAGTTATATCCACCAACCAAATTGTTACAGGTTGCATTAATTGAACAACTGTTTGATAAAGCGCATTTATTATAGTCTAAAAGTATTAAAAAAAAACTAAAAACTTTAAAGTCTAATAATTATTATATGAAATATATTATTAGCATTAAAAAAAACTCATTAAAAAAAATTTTTAATATTTTTTTAATACTTGACATTTTTTTACTTTGTCCCCACTTTTTTTTTTTAATTTAAAACAAAAGTTTGAAAAAATTGAATTAGTTATAATTTTTTCATTTAGAGAAACATATTTATAGTTTCATAAGTTTATAAATATACTGAGTAAACATTTATTAAGGTATTATATTTAAAATTGAACCAGCCTTTCAAATATTGCATTAAATTGAAAATATTGCCTGCTACATTGCCTGTTATTACCAATAAATCTGAAGGCTTTTCAATTTGTTTTAAAATTGACTGCAATCAAACAGTTCATTAAACAATTCATATCATTAATTATATATATATATATATATATATATATATATATATATATATATATATATATATATATATATATATATATATATATATATATATATATATGTATATATATATGTATATATATATATATATATATATATATATATATATATATATATATATATATATATATATATATATATATATATATATATATATATATATATATATATATATATATATATATATATATATATATATATATATATATACATACATAAATAAATAACACAAAAAATTAAGTTTGAAAAATATTTTCAAGACTTCATAGTTTTTTATATGTTAAAAAAGATAAAATATTTTTTATACTTACTGATCGGAAAAAAACACCATCGGACATTTATTATAGAGCTATCAAAGCAGCAGCTACGTTGGTAGCATTCACTTTTTGATATTCCAGGCCAGCCACAATCAGTTCGTTCTGTTGGAGAGATATCTTTACATGTGTTATTTAATCCAATGCTATTTATTTCTAAAGAGAGAACCAAAGTTTTTTAATGTCAAAAGGGTAAAGTTAAAAAATAGAGAACCAAAAAAGTATAATTAATTTGAACAACGACTAACTGTTCAAAAGAAATACTTAATTATGCAAGTACCATCCCCCCTAACTTTTGTCAGCCCTAACCTAACAACAGTTATAATCATTTTTTAAACAGTTGTGGACAGGAAGAATATTTCTAACCATGCATTTATTTATTTTTTGCGACAACTTGACCACGGCTCTTTAGATTTTCAAAAGCATTTCAAAAATGGGCTAAAATAAGATATAAGGTAATAAAGCTATAAATTACTTTTAATGATTGTATACTATAAAAAATATTTTATTTAATTTATCAAAAGATATTATATAGTTAAAAAGTATATTTTTTACAATGAATGTAAATGTTTTTAAAACAATTTGTACAATTATTTTTATAACAAGGGAAACAGTTGTTTCAATAAACTTTTTGATGAATCCATAAATTTAATAGTCAAAAACATAACAAAGTTTTTTTTTTTTTGTTATACTACAGGCCCGTAGAAACAAAAATTATATGGGGGTGGGGGAGGGGGAAGGGGGGCAGTAATACCAAAAAATAGTTTTGAGGATCTTATTTTTATTTTAGTCATTTTTTCAGTCAATTTCTTCAAAATTATTAATTTGAAAAATTATTGGAGGACGACTGCCCCTGCTGCCTCCGAATGCTACGGGCCAGTAAACTTTATAAAAAAATGTTTATATACTAAGTGGGCTGTCCATTAACTACATCAAGAAAATAGGGGGAGGGGAATCTGAATTATTTTGACACTTGTTTTGACAAAAGCAAAGGGGGAGATCAAGACAAGTTGTTGTCAACAATATTACTTTTTAAAATCAATTTAATTACTTGCAAAAACGAAAATTGGGCAGAGTTTGGATTCCTGTGCTACACACTGGCTAAACCTTCATTGTTTTAATAACACTGTTTATATTCATACTTTTTAAAAACATTGTTGCACTTAAAAAGATCCGAAACATACAGAATTAACAAACAAGATGTTTACTCAAAACACTATGAGTTTTTCAAAATTTTAATGAAAAAATTTATTTACTTGAAAAAAGGAAAATTACGCAGCGTATGCAGTCCTGTGTTACATACTTGCTCAACCTAAAATGTAAGAGTATAAATAGCTAATACCGCTATTTATATTCTTACATTTAAAAAATAGTTTTGTGCTTTAAAAAGGCGTGGCATATACAGAACTAAATGAATACAAACAAGATGTTTACTTGTAACACTATTATTTTTTCAAAGTTGTTGTTAGTTTGTCTGCTGTGCAAACAAAAAAAATTATGCAAGTCTTTTTTATATATTTTTAAATGTTTATACCAGTGGTCAACAAACTGTGGCTTACAAGCTTCATGTGGTTCTTTCAAAGTCAAGATGGGACTATTTAGCTTGATGAACAAATATTATTATAATATTGAAATAAAGATGTTGTTAGCTCTTTAAAAACTGAAAAAATTTGTAAATAGCAACTTTTGGCTAAAATAAAAAAAAGACAAAGAATCAAAAGCAAAAAAATAAATAATAATCTAAACAAATGGTCTAAATATTATTCTAAAAAAAGTATATACAAAAAATAAATGTAGTATAAGTTTCTTCAAAAAAAAAAATTCAATAAAACCTAAAAACCGAAAGTATACAAAAATTGTAAACATTCAAATCGTATATTAAATGAATAACTTTACCAAAAACTAAATAATTTAAAAAGTTCAAGTTTATAATATGTAAAAAAGTTAAAATTAAAACTTAAGTTATAAAAAAAAAATAATTGACAACATTTGTTTTATTCAAATCCAACATATAAAAATAAAGCTAACACAACAAATAAATTAAAAAAAAAACTATAAAAATAAAAAATAAAAATGTTTTAATATGTAAGTGAAAAGAATATATTTATATAAATAACATCCTAATAAAACAAAAATGATTAATGTCAATAACAAACTATTCACAATAAAAATAACAGTACATAAAAAAACTGGTAGCAAAGATAAGTTATTAGATAAAAAAAAATTTTATTATTAAAAACACACCATGTTAGTCAAAATAAAAACACAAATAGGTAACTCAAAAAGTATCAACATAATTACCTAAACACATATCTAAAAGAGATTCCACTCCTCCACTACTTGTATAAAAACCACTTTTACATATGCAGTTGTATCCACCAACCAGATTGTTACATGTTGCATTCACTGAGCAGTTATTTTTGTTTGACAAAGCACATTCATTAATATCTAAAAACATAAAGAAATGTCAATAGACGCAAAGTTTACGCAACATATTCAAACAGAAACTTGGATATCAAAATTAAATCAAAATTTTCTTTTAGTCGTTTGCTTTGCTTTCAAAAAGCATAGGAAAAAGAGAACATGTTTTCCATCTCCTTTAATTCAAATCGCTCTTTGAGTAAAGCTTTTTAAATGGTTTTTTTGCACAGGCCATCACTTTCAACTAAAACTTGGTATGTTATGCTATTTTCAACTTTGTTTTAAAGCACATCATATAGTAGACAGTTAGTGTCGAAAAGAAAAAGAAAAAAAAACACCATGTTTCTACGCAAACAACGTTAATAAAAGTTGCTCTACAAACAATGACAAACTTTGAAGGGGTCGTTATTCGTTGTCAATGTTTTTAAAAGACACTTTTGCTACATTTTATGCTGATCTTCAGGCAAGTAACACGAGTTCACAAAAAAATATTTTGATCAGATCATCTTTTTGTTAGACTAGTTAATACAAAAGTCAGCATATGACTAAAACACAATTATATTACCTTAATCAAAAATGAAATTTTTGTATTTTATCATAAGTTTTATTACCAAGACATTGATTTAACTGCAACTCTACTCCACCATTACTTGTGTTGAAACCACTTTTGCATGTGCAGTTGAATCCACCAATGAAATTGTTACAGATTGCGTTCACTGAGCAGTTATTTTTGTTTGACAAAGCACATTCATCAATGTCTATAACCATAAAAAATATGATGAGTTTAGGCAACACATTGAAACCTGAAACTTTTATATCAGAAACATGCCAAATGCTCAAAAATAATAAACAATAAAAAATAACTGATAATTTATCACTTATATTATTACCCAAACACTGATTTGAAAGAGATTCTATTCCTCCCGTACTTGTATTGAACCCACTTTTACATGTGCAGTTGTATCCACCAACCAGATTGTTGCATGTTGCATTCACTGAGCAGTTGTTTTTGTTTGAAAATTCACACTCGTTGATGTCTATGATCAAAAAAATACATTAGATTGTTAAAATTACTTTATTGATAGAGATTCTTATTTTTGTAGTTCTTTATTTATATATTACTATTTTAGCTTTTTTTACTTATATTACCCTTTATATATTTATATGTATATTAAAAGAAATAACTATTTTGATTACAGAATGTAAACTGTTTTTAAGAAATAAAGCATTTATAAAAAATTTAATGTAGAATTTACAATTCAGAATCATGTCTAAATTGTTTTAACTTTTACTATAATAAACTTTCAGTATACATATGATATATAATATATTATCACAATAAAAAATCAAGTTAATCTACCTAAACAGAGATTTGAAAGCAATTCTATATCACCATTACTTGTATTGAAACCTTTTTTACATATGCAGTTGTATCCACCAACGAAATTATTACAGCTAGCATTAACTGTGCAATTGTTTGTACTTGATAAAGCACATTCATTAATGTCTAAAAAATTTTTGTTATAACTTTTTTTATAATTTATAATTATTTTTTTATAATTTATAATTTATAACTATCATATATCGATGGTGAATTATAGAAATAATGAATATAATTGTTAATATTGTTGTAATAAATATATAAATTATTGTTTGGTATTTAGCTGCTGTATTTTGTTAATGTTTTGGATTTTTTGCTTTTAGAATTTTTTTGACATGTATTTTCTTGTTTTGTTTTAATTTTAACAAAAAATTTAAGATGGATTGAAAGTTTTTTTGTTGCAATTAAAATTAATAATAACAACACAAAAATAACTTGTTTTTTTACTTTAATATCGATGTTTACCTTCACATAGACTTGATGCATTATTGAATACAAAACCAGTTTTACAGACTAAAAATAATTATAAATTATACCATAATTTAAACTTGAATATAACCTTGGTTATATACATATATATATATATATATATATATATATATATATATATATATATATATATATATATATATATATATATATATATATATATATATATATATATATATATATATATATATGTATATATATATATATATAAATATATATATATATATATATATATATATATATATATATATATATATTTATATATATATACATATATACATTTATATATATATATATATATATATATATATATATATATATATATATATATATATACATATAAACACACATATATATAAAAAAATATAAAAACACACTTAGATTTAGGGAGCTTTAAGGGTTTCTGTACATACATCGAGTAGCAGCAGACTATAAGATGTATATTAAATTAGTATGATAACAGATCTATGTAGCAACACTCCCTTGTGGTAGCAGGCTATAAGATAGTTGATGTAGCAACATTTCATGCATGTTTTAAAAATATGTTTAAAAAAAACAAATACAAAAACACTATTAATTAATAAAACTTTCTAGCCATTATTATTGCGGTTTATTAAAAAAATGATAAAATATAATGTACTTTTATTTTTATTTATTTTTACATTCTTAAGGCATTCTCAAGCAACAACAATAAGAGTTGGAAGTTACTAGAAGAGAAAAGACAAAGTTTGTAAGGCAAGATAATGATTAACAGAAAATTTAAAAGAATGCAAATTATATAAATCAGGAAAGCAAGATAAAAGTAGCAACATCCAAATAACTGATGTTCAAGGAAAAAACTAGACAAATAAGAGTTTTGGAACACTTAGGAACAGTCACAGAAAAATGATGAGACTTAATTGAATGACAAGTAACACAAGAATGAATTTTAGTAAATAGCTCAAAAGAAGCTAGCTCTTTAGAGTAGTGCCCATAATAGTATTTGTAGAGAAAAGAAAGAGAAGCATTGTTACGATGATGTGATAATGGTTGGAGGTTGGCTGCAAGAGCAGGTCCAACTATGTTTACAATGGGTTTTTGCACTTTGTCTAAAAGTGAAAGGGCATCATAAGAAGATCCGCTCCAGATATAGGAACAGTATTCCATACAAGGACCGATTTGATATTTATAGAGATAAAGAATAGAATCCAGAGAAAGAAAGTGTCAAGCTTGATAAAGAGATGCAACTCTAGCAGATACTGATTTTGCAATGGATTTGATATATGGTTTCCAAGAAAGATCGGAAGTAAGACTTATTCCTAGAAGATGAAGGGTAGATGACTCATCGAGTAAATTAACGTTTTTAATTATAGAAAGATATAAATTATTGTGATTACGATTGGCTAAAAAAAATTGAGTTTTATCTGAATTAAAGTTCACAAGCTCCATACTGTAGCAGAAGTGAGAACCATTTCAAGCTTAGATGCCCCCTCCAAGCAATCAGAGAGTGTTGGGTCCTTATCATGACAAAAATAAATAATAGTGTTATGAGTGAACAATTTCACCTCAAATGCAAGAATTTGTGGAAGATCATTAATGTAAATTAAAAAGAGTATAGGCCAAGGATTGAACCTTGAGAAACCCCTGAAGTTACAGGATATGAAGAAGAGTGCTGGAAAGGAAGGACTAAATTATTTTAAAGATGTTACCTGATATACCATAAGAAGAAAGCTTATGGAGAAGACCAGGATGACACACTTTATCAAAAGCTTTAGAAATGTCAAGAGTGATAGCCTTAACCTCTCCACCTCTATCTAATGCACAATAAAACCTATCGGGTAGCAAATCAGCTGTAGAACAAGAAGATCGAAATCCATATTGATGATGAAAAAGTAAGTTTTTAGATTCAAGATGAGAGATTAAGTATTTGTTAATTAAAGATTCAAAAACCTTGCTTATAATAGAAAGAAGACTGATGGGACAGTAGCTAGATAAGTCAGATTGCTCTCCAGAATTTTTGAAAATAGGGATAACAGATGCCACTTTCCACCATGCTGAAAAACAAGACTCCGATTAACACTTTTTAAATAGTATTGAAAGTATGGATGACAGTTCCAAAGAATGCTTCTGCAAGACTACAGCATTTATGTTATATGGACCACAAGCTGTAGAAGAGTCTAAGCAGGAAAACACTTTTGATACAGAAGCTGGAGTGATACAAATCTCAAACAATGGATCAACCTGTTTGACGGCTATATGAGGTAGAATGCAACTAGTGGAATCAAGAGAAGATATTGATGAAAAGTTCTTAGCAAACAGTTCAGCTTTGTCTTTGGGTGAGATGGCAATGTCTAAACCATACAAGAGAGGTGGAATAACAGATTTGCCCTTGTTATTGATACTGTTAAAAATTCTCCAGAAGTCACAAGTGCCTAATTTTTGTGATTAAATACAAGATTTTATGACCAGAGAATAGCAAGCTTTGGGGTTAGACAAATCTTTTTTACAATGGTTTCTAGCAATAGTAAACAGACATCTGTTTTCTGGAGAATTATTTTTCTGATAGATATGGAAGAAACGGTTTTGATTGGAAATTGTAGCAGCAAGCAAGAAAAATCATGGAGAAGAGTGAAACTTGACCTGGAATTGTCAAGAGGGAATAAAAAATTCCATACCAGCCTGAATCCACTAAGTTACATAAGAAGTAAATTCATCAGCAGGAAGGCAAAAGATTTCTTCCTAAGGCTTTTTTTTTATTTAACTAACAAAGTTTTTTTTATTTAATGGTGTTTTTGTTGTTGTTTTATTAAAATATATTTTTAAAACATGCGCAGAATGTTTCTACATCAACTATCTTATAGCCTGCTGCTGCAAGGGAGTGTTGCTACATTGACTATCTTATAGACTGATTCGCAATAGAGTGCTACTACATCGACTGACAAATAGCCTGACTTGCAAGGCAGTGCTGCTACGTCTGAGGGTTTGGTTTGGGCAGGCAGTCTATCATTTAAGAGAAAAAAAAATTATTCAAGTTTTTAAACTTTTTCTGGTCTGGTTTATTAAAACGCTCTTTAAAACAACAGTTTATGCGATAAACTTTCTGACTACTATGCAAGACTATATATATATGTATATATATATATATATATATATATATATATATATATATATATATATATATATATATATATATATATATATATATATATATATTACACATATATATAATTTTATATACATTACTAATTTTAAATATTACTAATTTTAAATATATTACTAATATTTATATATATCAATAACTTTAAAGTAGTTTCCTCGACTGCAGTGGCCTTTTCGACTGGGGGGGATGGGGTGAATAATTTAAAAAAAAAAGATATTTTCATGGATGCACAATAAACAGTAACAGATTTCCTTATATTTAAATCTCTGTCATCAATTACAAAATAATCTGATACCAAGTTAGCAGCTATGGTGTAGGAGTTAAAGTTTTTAGCTTTAGAACTGGAGGTCTGTGGTTTAAAGCCAGCTCTGGCCATATAAGCATCATTTGTAAAGATGGAGGCATGAACCTCTTGGTTAAATGCTTGTTCATGTTTTTCAAATAAAATTATCAAAAACTTAACTGTGTTGTTTTTTTTATTTTTAACATTAGAATCAAATTAGAATGTGTCAGTTCAAAAAGCTTTGAAAATTTACCTAAAAATAATATTTCATTGAACAGGCCCAGACTGGGGCTTCAAATCCTACCGAGAAGGGAAGAGGGAGGGACGCTACAAGGTTGGGATAAAGAAAGAAAATAGGCTAGTGTTTATATAAAGGTCTTTTTAATTTGAATATGAATAGGTGAAATAATGTTACACTTTTAAAGTTCAAAGTTCATTCAGACTTACAATATAATTCAGTATGTCATTTTACTTTTGTATGAAATATACATGATAATTATGTAGACAATGATAAAAATAATAATAATAATATTAACAATAATAATAATAACAACAATAATAATAATAACACAATGAATTTATTATGATAAATAAATAATAAACCCCTTTTTAAATCATTTAAGATTTTAAAAAAAAAACCAAAATGGACCCTGTGGTTTATCTGGTATTTATACTGTAACTGACTACAATCTTCTAATGTAACATCTACGGAATCCTTATACAAATAACCAATTATGTTTTCAACTGCAATTCAATCCAAATTGTCCTTATCGGTCGACATAAACATAAATGTTTTAAACTTGTCGTTACATTATGAGGAACGCAGCCTAGTTTTGACAATTTTTAATTTACAGTTCACAGCTCACTTGTCAGAATGAAAGTGTTAATAGATATTCGTAAGCAAGAAACAGATTTGAATAAGCAGTTGCATTCAACGAATATTTGTATAAAATACTATAGCAACATTTTAAACATTTTTTACAAGACCCTACACAATGCTCAAAGTTCTGAAAATCTCTATCATTCTCATTTTCAGTTGCTTTTGTTAAAGTATCCAACTTTGAGACTGAATTCGATTCTTCTGAATCTTCGTCACTAGGACTCACTTTAATTTCATCTCATAGTGTTTTTGAGAGCCTATCAAAGTTTATAGCAAAGCTATGCAATTCAGATCTCAATCTTTCAGAACAAAGATTAGTTAGTTGAGAAATTTTTGCAAGACAAAAATTTCTCAACTAACTAATTTGTTTTCTGAAATACCATTTTCAACAATTTCTTTAAAACGTCTGGGATCTAAATATGCAGTGTCTCTAATGACATCCCTGTTAACTGAGAAACGTTCATTTATGCTAGTGGTAATCTGATCAACTACTCTATGGAAAAAATCCATTCTGAAACGATCATCTTTTTAAATCCAAGAGTAAAACTAGAATCTTCTTTCCAAAAAGGCAGGTCCATACTGTAATTTTTAGGGGGTTGTTTTGGAAAAAAAAGGCATTTTAGAGTGATAAACTTAGCTTTTGCTCAATTTTTACATCAAAATTTGTTCTGACAATCTTTTGCCAAAATGTTTACACAACTATACCCAAAATCCTAATGAGA